ACATACACATACGCGTGGCCGGCGGTGGAGAATCAATAAATCGGTTCACAGAATCGCAAATCTCAGAGTCGTTCTTGGCGTCTGGCTCCTGCATCCAAATAAACAGACGCTGCTCTTTGTTTTTCAGCACATAAACGCGGCCTGACTTGCACTGCGATACGGGTTTGAATTCGGTTTGTTTTGGTACCAAAACGTAATTCTAGGGAAGTCCATCAGAAAGGCTATTTACATACTTCCTCCACCAGACCTGTACGACGGTCAAACCAACAAAAGTGCACTTTGGAGTCGCTTGACTGATAGAGATATGCGCAGCCCTTGCGCGGATCTGGATGAACCCAATGATCGTCTTTCATGGTCATCTTTCCGGCCTTGAATTGCAGCAGATGTCGTGGTTGCTGAGTTGGTACAGGACGATCGAAAAGAGCTGCTGTCTGTGACATTTCGATCTTCTAAGAGCGAAATACGAAGCGGTGGTCTTCAAGAGGAGTAGCACCTAAGCATGGAAGAACATTTTTAACCGTCAGCTCATAGAGTTCACTTCAAGAACAAAACCTGTCATAGTAGTATCAGCCTGGCCTTAAAATAGACGAAAAATTCGTGGATATCATTAGAATTGGGTTAAAAGGCAAAAAATATCTAGGGGCATGAAAGCTTCTACTGAAAAGCATGCAATAGAGAATACTCTCATTTTAAAATGGCTATAAACAATCAACAGTTGTCTGTTTTGTTGGACATTAAAAGTTGTCCCTGCGTCGATGATCAAAACCTGTGATGTTGCCTCATAGCACACAGACTTTGATTCAACAAAATATTACTTCCGATTTGACGCACAGGACTACCGGCCGTTACGCGTTCTATCTAACTACGTTATCGAGTGGTTTATCGAAAGGGCTGTGCGAGTACAGTTGTTAAATTCATATTTAAAGTCGGTCAACCGGCCTCAATTACGTTGGAAATGTCGCTCCCCTAATGTAAAACTTTGCCGACCCACAAATTACAGCCTTGAACAAAGGATTTCGCTAACCCAAGCGATTTATGCCTTAACACAGCAAAAAACAGAAATCACGAGATTAAGTCCTGGCAAAGAGATGGTACCTCACGTGGATGGTTGCCAACCTAAGGAATTGGACAGTTCCGGGTACCACCGAACCAGGAAGTTGTCAAAACAAAACGAGGGAACCAGTCACCAAAATCGGGATGTTTTATACGCCTTTGAGGATGTGTATATGCCTGCCACGGTA